TGGCCTCAGCATGGCTGGAGAAGTGGTGTGTCGGTGCGCGCCCGGGATCCGAACCCCGGCCGCCAGCAGCGGAGTGCGCACACTTAACCGCTAAGCCACGGGGCCAGGCCCTGAATCTTCTTTATATAGACATTTTCATGTGTATTTGGATAATAGATAATTGGACAGAGATAAATAGGAGGAGAGAAGAGGAATCTAAAACAAAATATACGCTGGGACCTAAAAGGAGAAAGTAATAGAAAAAGTAAAACATATTTAGAAAACAGAGTATTCATTAAGTCATTATTTCTTAAAGACTGAGTTATCTTTTATCAGATTCCATTTCCACCTGTTAAAGATTGATTTTGGAAAGTAACGAAGAGCTAATCTACAGTTACCCAAGACATATTTCTCAAAGAGCTATTTGGATATTTAGTAAACCAAACACTTCTACCATTCTCCCTCCAGTCTGAGCTATATATTAAGGCAAGTTAGATGGAAAGCCAAAGAATAAAGAGGTAGCTTTTTGTACAGTGCTTGCAATGGCAAATATACCAAAGAACTGAAAACTACACCTTAGACAACACTGGTCCAGCCATTTTTGTTTGATTTCTAAGCATCATTTATAATCTTATGTAGAAATTAATTCTTCAAAAGGAAACATTCTATTTTTAAAAGACAAGTAAGTCATAGCTATCTTTTGTTATAGATGACGATTTAATTCAAGATTTCTTGTGGATGGACTGCTGCTGTAAAATTGCAGACAAGGTAAATTTGGTAAAAATATAATCATTAACCGGCATTATTATATTACCAGACCATCAGAACTTTAACAAAACCGTATAACAAAACCATATAAGAATTTTCTGTCTTATTAATTAAGGTTAGGAAAAGAACTAGCCTGCATTGCTCTTTCAAAGTGAAATCCTTACACATTAATTTTTGAAATTAGCATACACCGTAGATACATTCTATACTTGAGGAATTGTAGAATATTATTGATAAATTTAAATGACCTTAAGTCTATATGTGTTTGATTGAAAACAAGAATCAGTATGGACTTAATATGTCTTGGTCAGAATTATTACCTTTTATCAGGCTATGGAGAAAGAATATTCTGCGATTCATTCTATTAAAGCAGCCTGTTATACATTTTAATATTTTGTAAGTAATTTAGATAAAACAAATCCTAATAATTTTATAAAGTAAAATTAGTTTATCATATTCTTTATTTAAGAATCAGTGTTTCACAAAAAAAACATGATGCTAATTTACATTCTAGGGACCATGATGTTTCTATACTCTTTAGATTTAGCTGAACAGTTCTGATTTCAGCTTTGTAAATACCATCTTAGACCAGGTAGTCATATGAGAAAATTCAGCATGACTTCACATTACACTTAAAAATAATGTGCCAACCAACAGCAAACGGAATGAACAGAAGACTAGCTAATGATTAAATACCCACTAAGTTAATATTGATGTGAACTTCTTTATTTCAAGCTTAAGATAACAAAAAAATCGGAGAAGTTTTTTTCTTAATTTTGGAAAACTTCAAACATACACAACTTAGGGTAGAGAGAATAGAACAAAGACCCTCCATGTGCCTGTCATCCAGCTCCAGCAATCATCAACTCATGGCCATTCTTGTTTCTTTTAACCCCTCTCCCCAAAACTGGATTATTTTAAAGCAACCCCCAGACATCCTAACACTTTATCCATAAATATTTTAAAATGTATCTCTAAAAGATGAGATCTTTTTAACATGATCACAATGTCACTAATACTTTTAAAAATTAATGGTAATGCCTTAATATCAAATATCTAGTTCTCATGGAGTTGTCAAGTTTTAAACTTTATAGTTTTAAGTGCATTACAGTAATTAAAGTTGTTGGACAGCAGAGGGCAGTGCTTTTAAAGTAACTAACCAGGAGTACTGTTACCTTAAAAGTGTTTCAAGAGTCCTCTACTGCAAGTTACCTTGAAAACTTGGAATCACCTTTGTAACCAATCCTGTGAAGGTAGGATGAATAAGCATTGCATGAGAGGGAATCTAATACGTCGGTAGTATTACTTGTTTTTCATTTGAACAGGCAGAACCTGGCATAGTGTCCTAATATCAAGCTAGACATGTGTCTTTCTAATAATACAATTAAAACACTTTTTTCAAATGAAAATAGAGCCAAGTTATTCTAATTTCTCATTAGAAGTTATTGTTTAAAGATTATTTTAAAAAGCGAGTATGGATGTCTGCAACTAACTCAAAGGGTTCAGGAAAAAAATTTTTGTATATACACATACATCAAGCCAATGTGGCAACATGTTAACAACCGGTGAATCTAGGTAAAAGATGTATGGTTATTCATTTTATTATTATTTCAGCTTCTCTATAGGTTTGAAATTTAAGATAGAAAAAAGTTGGGTTTTGGTTCAAAAAATATTGGCAATAATAAAATTTGGGGGGTCATTCTAGTTGTAATCTTAGTCGTGATAAATAGTCCAGAACTATTTCTCACTGTTCACATGGATTACAGGAAGCCAAAAGATAAGGACTCAAATAAATAGATACTTCTATAATAAAGATAAATAATGCTTTCTTATTTTAGCTTATTCATCTTAACGGTAACTATTTTAAAGCAGTTTTACTTATGAAAGCAAAACATTAATTTTTAACTTTTTTCCCTATAGTATCTTTTGGCTATGACCTTTGTTTATTTCAAGAGGGCTAAATTTACTATAAATGAGCATACCAGGATAAATTTCTTTATTGCTCTGTAAGTATGCTTTCTACAAGTGATTTTAGTTATTTATAATATATATGATACCTTGTTTAAAACAGAGGCTGTTTAAAACCTGATGTATATCTTTGAATGGGCCGTCCTGTATAAAAGCTATATGTTTTTTTACTTTAATAGGATAGTTTTATATTCTTTTCACTGACCTTATCCTGCTATATGCCTAAGATTTACTATTCAATATTCCACTTGAGTTTGTATTGTACCTTTACATTTTTCAGAGTACTCCAGATAAATTATCCCAAATTCTCCTCTTTTGGACTTAGATAAAGCCAAAATATTCTTTTTAAAATTTCCAGTTAATATATAGTAAAAATCATCATCATTATTGTCCTTTTACATTGAGTAGTTTGTAGAAAATGCTCTGGACATTCTCATTGTATAACATAGGAGTTATTCATATCTGATACCTTTAGTATCCCTTAACTGTTTTACTTAACACATTAAACTTTGACCAAGGAGTATAATTTGCTTTCCAGTTCTTCCATTGACTTTATATTAGACAGTTCATACAAACTTTGTGATCTGTTAAATGATTTTAATAACATGGCTTTTCAAGCTATAGGTCAGAATTCTGCTAGAATCAATATAATTTAAGAATATCTAAATCTTAAAACCTTTTCTACCCAGTACCTGAATATAATGCTGTGGTTGGGAATGTGTGAATATAATTTTAAGTACTTAACTAAGGACCTACATATAAATATTTAGATTGAATACCACAACAACTGTTAGCACTGAAAAGTAAGTTTTTACTCAGTCTGTTTAATTCAGTGATTCAAGAAATAGGACTAGAAGAAACTCATCTCTGCATATATTCAGGAGACACATTTCCCCATGCATAGGGAAAAATGAACTCAATATAAAATTTGGTGATGATTGCTAAATTGGGGGACTATAATAGTATTAGCTAATGTTGAGTATTATGTGCAAGGCACCACAAAAATATTTTTTATAAGCTCATTTAACCTTCCCTATGAGATACATTTTTTAATTATCCTCATTTTACAGATGGGGAACTTGAGACTTAGGAAGATTAAGTACTTTCCAAGATCACAAAAGTTAGTGAGCAGCAGAGCTGGGGCGCAAATTCAGGTGGGAGTTGCCAGTGGCCTAATTCAGCCACTGACCACTAAGCTATGTGTTTTTTTGTGTGTGTGAGGAAGATTAGCCCTGAGCTAACATCTGTTGCCAATCCTCCTCTTTTAGCTGAGGAAGATTGGCCCTGGGCTAACATCCGTGCCCATCTTCCTCTACTTTATATGGGACACTGCCACAGCATGGTTTGACAAGCGGTGTGTCGGTCTGCACCCGGGATCCAAACCCGAGAACCCTGGGCTGCTGAAGCGGAGCACGTGAACTTAACCACTATGCCACTGGGCCAGCCCTGCTATGCTGCTTTTTACGTGTCTCTTAGTAATGTATTATATTCATATGTTGATGCAATATCTATTTTGTAGTTTATTTCTCACCTGAAAATTAAAAACAAACCAAAAGAAGCTTTAGTTTAAATCTTAAATGCTTGAAATTGCATTTGTTTGACTTTTTTTGTAGTGATTACCAGTAAAGCACTGTGTCAGCTTACACTATGTAGTAGTCCGTGTGGTTGCATTGCATGTTGTATTATAAGCTCCATATTAAAAACAACTTGAATTATAATTTCCATTTTATATCTAATCATACTTTTTGCATAGCCTGACTCAATAGTTCTTCTCATTAAATATTTTCTCAGCTGCAATTCTAACTCAATTTCTTTTCCTTTTTATATATTCTTTTTTTTTTTTTTTGAGGAAGATCGGCCCTGAGCTAACATCTGCCAATCCTCCTCTTTTTGCTGAGGAAGACTGGCCCTGGGCTAACATCCGTGCCCATCTTCCTCCACTTTATATGGGACACCGCCACAGCATGGCTTGACAAGCGGTGCATCAGTGCGCGCCCAGGATCCGAACCGGCGAACCCCGGGCCGCTGCAGCGGAGAGCGCGCACTTAACCGCTTGCGCCACCGGGCCAGCCCCCCTTTTTATATATTCTTATAACATTCTAACTTCTATTACCATTCTTCATATTCTCTTTTACGGTCATTTGTTCATACTTAGTTGCCTCTTCTACTTGACTGGAAGCTCCTTAAAGGCAAGGAACGTGTATATTACGGTTTTTTTGCACCTTTCAGTGGCTAACATATAAGAGGTTCTTAATTCTTTATTTGAGTGAACATAATTACTGTCATGCAGAAGAAATGAACTCTGCTCCAAGAAAATCTAACTATTTCAAACTAGAAGACAATTTACATGTATATGATACAGATATTTCATCACATTGAGCCTGAAAAATTGTTAATCTAGAATAGAATCATGATGTAGTCCTGATACCATAGTACCATAGTACATTATATAGATTTCCCATGTTTCACTTAGTCAGCAAGCATGACAGGGGCCAACCTTTGCTCTGTCTACCCTTTACTAAGTAAGCACTATCAAGGATATTAAAGTAATAAATTATATAATTTCACAGAGGACATGATTTGACTCATATAACTGAATAGGTTTAATATTGAGGTGCTTTATAATCAGGTAATATTAAAATACAGTTATTTTGAGGGAGGATAAAGTAACATGTAGGTGATCATTTTATATTAATGTAACTGTGAATATGCACATGGTTTTTTTTAAAAAGTACATAAGAGGATATACAGTTAAAAGTAAGTGTTCCTCATACCTCAAGACTTTGGCCTCCTTCCTCAAGGACAATTAACAGTTTGATCTGTATCTGTCTAGAAATAATTTTCTATACATGAACTAGTGTGTATATTACATAAATAGAAGCATACTACACACTTGTGTGCCTTTAAAAAAATTTTAATGTGAAATATCTACAAGAGAGTGTATGGAGTGTGTATGTATGTGTGTGTGAAAGAATAAAAGCAAAACAAATACTCATGTACCCATGACTCAAGAACATTGCCAGAATCTTAGAAGGTTACAGTACACAGTTTCCCAATTAGAACCCTCCTTTCCACAAGTAGTCATTTTCTTGCTTTATTCTATGTATATACCTCTAATAATATATTATTTGTTTTTTTCTGTTTTTGAGCTGTATATAAAGGAATCATGTGTACTGTTCTTTGGTATTTTCCTTCTTTTGCTTTATAATAGTCTGATTTTGAATTTCACTTATATTGATATGTGTAGCTGTAGTTGATTCATTTTCACTGCAGAATACTATTCTATTGTTGCTTATATATTTGGATTTTTTTTCTACCATCTTGTTATGTACTTTGTGTATGTCCCATTTTTTCTATTTCTTCTTGCCCCTCCATTTTTATCTTCTTTTGATAGAGATTTTTTAATTTTTATTTTTTGACACCTTTTTTCCTCTACTTGTTTGGAAATTATGCAGTGTATATCTATTCTTTCAGCAATTACCTTAGTTATTTTTAATCAGAACCTTAAGAACCTTAAGCATTTTAGAGCATATTTAGAACCTTAAGCATTTTACCTCAAATCACCTCCTTCTCAACTTATAGTCTCTTGTTTTGCGATTCTATAGTTCTACCTGATGCCCTCCAAAAGTTAGACATTATTACTCTTATTTTATACATTCAACATTTTAGATTTACCCACATATTTATATCTTTGCTTACTGTTCCTTCTTGCATCTCAAACCTTCCACTTGAGATCATTTGCCTTCCTTTCTGACTGCTTTTAAGACCTCCCTTTCTTTGGTGTTTGTCTATTAATGTCAGTATCTTCAGACTTCAGGGTCTGTTTCTGCTCATGGTGCCTTGTTCCCTTATGTGTTTTGTAATTTTTTTATTGTAAGTTGCCCATTTTTCTTGGAAAGTCATCTATGGGGCTTGCATTGTTTCCCATTGGAAACCTTGGGCAATTGGGAAATCTCCATCCTTATTTCTGTTCCTGTGTTATTTAACCTGTCTTTTACTTCTCTGACTGCTTTTTAAGATTTTATCACTGGTTCTGAACAGTTTGATTATGATGTGCCTTGGTGTAATTTTCTTCATGTTTTGTGCTTTGGTCTTCATTGAGCCCCTTTGTGGGTTTATAGTTTTCATCAGATTTTCAGCCATTCTTTCTTCAAGTATTTGTTCTGTCCACCCACTACCCTCTAGGGACTCCAGTTTCACCTTTATTAGGCTGCTTGAAGTTATCTCATAGCTCATTGATGCTCTGTTCATATTTTTGTTTCTCTTTCTCTGTATGTTTCAATTTGGATAGTTTATCTTGCTATGTCTTCAATGCACAAATCTTTTCTTCTGCAATATTTAATCTGCTTTTAATCTCACTTTGTATTTTTTCATTGTACACGTAGTTTTCATCTTTAGAAGTACACTTTCAATGTGTCTACTTATCTTTTTGAACATCTGGAATGATTATAACTATTTTAATGTCCTTGTCTGTTACTTCTACCGTGTGTATCAGTTTTGATTGATTGATTATTCCTCTTATAATGGGTTGTGTTTTCCTGCTTCTATGCATGCCTGATCCCCCTCAAGCATATGGCAAGATACTGATTTCCATATGTGTATAAGGAAACTACCTGAGTATGGGGAAAGACCATAAGAAAGGATTAGGGTGGACAGTACCTAACATTCACCCAGGACTGGAAATAGTGCCTGTTCCCACCAGCTAGACAGAAAAACTCATAATTCACAGGATATTGGATAGAGTACTCAGGAACATCTTGCCTCAGTAGTGGGGAATAATTAGCTCCAGACTGCACGTTGCTCCAGATCCACCTAACAAATCATAAAAGCAAGACCTGAAAGGATCAGGCTGTTTCCAAGTAACTTATCTGCATCTTAGAATAAAGCTCAAGATTTATAGGAATACAAAAATATTCAGAACTCAACGGGGTAAAATTCATTGTATCTCAATTTTTGATCTACATTTCTTTATGAGTAAAGTTGAATATCTTGTATGTGTTTATAAGCAATTTGTATTTTTTTTTATGAACTGCCTGTTTCTATCCTTTATCCATTTCTTTTTTGAGTTCTTGGTCTTCTTTGTTAGGTATCTGGCTAATACAGTTGAAGAAGATGAAGAAGAATCCAAATATGAAATTTTTCCATGGGCTTTAGGGAAAAACTGGAGAAAATTGTTCCCTAATTTCTTAAAGTTAAGGGACCAGCTCTGGGATAGAATTGACTATAGGGCTATTGTAAGCAGGCGATGTTGTGAGGAGGTAAGATTTTAAAATACTTTATATATGTAATCTCTGTCTTCTGTTTATGTAATTTTCCTTGTCTTGTTTTTTAATGTGCTACTAATGTTTCAATTTTTGTATATTTAAGGGTAGACCATTAACCTTGATGGTTAACATGAGTACAACTTGTGTATCACAATGTTCATGTTTCAATTTTATACCATAATAATTAAAAATCGTCATTTCTGTTTTTCAGAGCAGTCTACTTCTGTAGTAGGTATTTTTATTTTGAGTATGTTTCTCTTGTCTTAAAAGATCACCAAATATATTGGGAAAGGGTAGTGTGCACTTTCCAAAATATCTTATAGTAATAACACTGGAGTTGAATAACAATTTTCATTAAATAAAGTATACGAAATTTCAGGTTCCCAAGATTGAAATGTGAACTGCATGGTATAATATTTAAATAAATTTAAATAGGTTTAAAAACCATACCTCTTTTCACATAGAATAGATAAAGTAAGTTTCTTTGATGCCAGATTCTATTAAGATAAAGCAGAAAGACAATAAAATTTAAAAGATCAGTTATTTTATCTAATGTTCTGGTTTTCAATAAAGAAGAAAGTTAATGTTTCACACTAAAGAAAAATTCTTAGAGTAGAAAATTAAATGGAAGGCAGTGATTACTGTAAGCCAGTACTATTACAGAAAAGTTTGGTAAATATGCACGAGATAATATGTAATTAAATGAAGTCATATACAGTTAAGTGACTATCGGCCAAAAGAGCCAATTAATGGATTAGTGTCAAACCTGAGGGAAGACTTTAGAGGTGTGTCACAGAACTCTGCCCAGAACTAACCTTGCTAATGATATTTATGAGATGAAGATATGGCAAGTATGCATATTTGTGGATTAAATTAGGAGGATTGTTGAATGTTGGAGGAAATAAAAGGATTCAGAAATAACTTAGAAGACTATACAGCAAGCTAAGTCTTTACAAGAGTCAATTCAGTAGAAAAATATAAGAGATTGGGTGTATCCGGCCTTCCCAAATTATTGGATCCTCATTATAGGATTTAAATGACTCATTCCAGGGCCGGTCCCATGGCTTAGTGGTTGGGTGCACGCGCTCCACTGCTGGCGGCCCGGGTTCGGATCCCGGGCGCACACCGACGCACCGCTTCTCCAGCCATGCTGAGGCCGCATCCCACATACAGCAACTAGAAGGATGTGCAACTATGACATACAACTATCTACTGGGGCTTTGGGGGCAAAAAAAATAAATCAATAAAATTATAAAAAATAAATAAATAAAAAATAAATGACTCATTCCAGTTACAGGACATTGAAAGAGTCCTATATTGTTATTTTTTGTCACTATCTCCTCAGGTCAGGAGGGCATAATTTGTGCACCAGTTGCCATTGTTGGACATGATAGTGGACCTTATTTGAACACTCTTATTTTTTCAAAGTAAATGCTTCCAGCCCCATGGGACACTCAGCTAAGGGCATGGAGGGGGGCATCAGAAGCAAGAGGCCAGGATAAGCAATGCTCATCTCATGGCAAAGTGTCCACCCTCTCCTAAGATACAACGACTAGCATCTTAACTGCAAACAACTTTGATTTACACTATTGGAGCTGGAATTATCTCAGTTGCTGACACCAGGCATTCTCTGGCTATTAAAGAGCCAGAGAATGATGTGGCTTAATTGCCACATCATATGTGTAAAAGACTAGAAAAAGTTTTAGAGAGCTGTAAACTCAGTTATGTAAAGGGATTTCCAGAAAAGTTTAATCTCTCAAGGCTTCAACACTGAACTAACAAATCTCTTCCCTAATTCCAGACCTGTATATCAAGCTTCTTATTCATATTTCATTATCTAGTAGAAACCTCAAACATGCTGAAAATTGAGTTTCTGATTCCTCCACATAGACCTCCAAACCTGTCCTCCTGCAGTCTTCCATGTTAATAAATGATAACTTCATCCTTCTAGTGTCTCAGGCCAAAAAATTTCACCCTAGACTTTTCTTTTTCTCACATCCATAACTTAAAAAAATATCCAGCATCCTACCATTTCTCACCATCTCCCCTACTAAACCCTACTTTGATTGTCATCTCTTGCCTCAATTATTGCCGTAACCTTCCACGTAGTCTCTCTTATAATCTTTCTTCCTCTAGTCTATTCCTTATACAGCAGCCAGAGTAAATCTTTTAGAAAGTAAGTCAAATCATGACTCCTCTACTCAAAAGCTTCCAGAGGCTTTCCATCTCACACAGGGTAAAAGGCAAAGTCCTTATCCTGGCTCTACATGGTTTGCCAATTCTCCTCCCTTATCTCTCTCTCTTTTTCTTTTTTTTTTTTTTTTTACCAGAAATCTGAAGTAAGCTGGTTACTTACTTGAGCATTTATTTATTTTTTTTTTTAATTTTTGTTTATTGCAGTCACACAGGTTTATGACATTGTAAAAAATTTCAGGTGTACATCATTGTACTTCTATTTTTGCATAGGTTACATCATGTTCTCTTTTTCTTTTTTATTATTTTATTGAGGTCATAATGGTTTATAACATTGTGAAATTTCAGGTGTAATTATTTACCAGTATTCTATATAGACTGCATCATGCTCACCACCAATAGTCTAATTTTTATCCTCCCTTATCTCTGACTTCATCTCCCATCCTTGCTCACTTCACTCCAGCCACACTGGCCTCCTTGCTGTTCTTCAGACACAGCAAGGACACTGCCACTTCAAAGTCTTTGCACTTACCATTCCCATTACCTGGAATGCTTTTTCCCTAGATATCAGTATGCTTCACTTCCTGACTTCATTCAGGACTCTGCTTAGATGTCACCTCAGAGAAACCTTTCCTTACCATCCTATATCAAGTAGTATCTCCCTTAATGAAATAAGAGTCCAGAAGTAAACCCTCACGTTTATGTTCAATTGAATTTTGACAAGGGTACCAAGAAGATTCAATGAGGAAAGAAAAGTCTTTTCAACAAATGGTGCTGGGACAACTGGATATCCACATGCAAAAGAATGCAGTTGGACCCCTGCTTCATATGATATGTAAAAACTAACTCAAAATGGATCAAAGACCTGAATGTAAGCTAAAAAGCTATAAAAAGAAAACATGGGGTAAATCTTTATGACCTTGGATTATGTTTCTTAGATATGATACAAAACACAAGCAACAAAAGAAAATATAGGTAAAGTGGACATCATCAAAATTTAAAACTTTTGTCCTTCAAAGGACACCATCAAGAAAGGGAAGAGACAACCCACAAAATGGGAGAAATTTTTTGCAAACCATTTGTCTGATAAGGAATTTGTATCTAGAGTATATAAAAAGCTCTTAAAACTCAATAATAAAAAAGACAATTTTGAAAAGGGCAAGGGATCTGAATAGGCATTTCTCCAAAGAAGATATACAAATGGGCAAAAAAGCACATGAAAAGATGCTCAACATCTTTGCCCATCAGAGAAAGGCAAAATCAAAACCACAAGGAGATATCACTTCACACCCACTAAGATGGTTGTAATAAAAAAAGATAATAACAAGCATTGGCAAGGATGTGAAGAAATTGGAACCCTCATACACCTCTGGTAGGAATGTAAAATAGTATAGTTGCTTTGGACAACAGTCTGGCAGTACCTCAAAAGGCTTAACATAGAGTCACCATATGACCCAGCAATTCCACACCTAGTTATATACCCTAAAGAAATGAAAACTATGTCCACACAAAAACTTGTACACGAATGTTCATAGCATTATTCATAATAGTCAAAAAGTGAAAACAACCCCAAATGTCTATCAGCTAATGAATGGATAAACAAAATATGGTATATCCATACAATCATATATTACTTGGCAATTAAAAGGAATAAAGAACTGATACATGCTTACAACATGGATGAACCCTGAAAACTTGCTAAGGGAAAGAAGCCAGTCACAAAGGACCACATATTGTATGATTCCATTTATATGAACTGTCCAGAATAAAATCCAAAGAAACAGGAAGTAGACTAGTGGTTACCAGGGGCTAAGGGGAGGAAGGAATGTGGTATGACTGGTCTCTTTATGGAGTGATGAAAATGTTCTAAAATAGACTGTGGTTATGGTTGTGCTACTCTGAATATACTAAAAGCCACTGAATTGTACACTCTAAATGGGTGAATTGTATGGTATTTGAGTTAAATCTCAATAAAGCTGTTAAAATAACAAGTAGTACCTCCTATTATTACTCTGTTCCTTTTCCTGGTTTTCTTCATAGCACTTTACCACATATAACATACTCTGTTTTACTTATTTATCTTACTAATGTCTATTTCCCCCTACTGGAATATAAATTCCGAGAGTAGGGTCTTTATTTTGTTCTTATTGTGTATCTAGTGCCTAGAACAGTGCCTGGCATATAGTAGGTACTCAGTAAATATTGCTGGCTGACAGAATGAATGGAACTTAAAGCTTTCAATTCTTTTTCATACCCTCTTATCCATGAAATAGAAAAACAATAAACTATAAAACAATTTTTCACGGAGCTCACTGAGCACTGCCCCTTACTCCGGTGGCAGATAGGTAAGCTTTTTTTTTTTTTTTTTTTTTGCTGTTCCAACCAGGTACATTTGAATCATGATGATGTATAGGAAAGGCAATTACCTAGTAGATTTTATCCTGTTCTCAAGTATTCATTCGACAGCTAACTTACGAGTAAGACACCAAGTTCAGTGTTATGGCGATTTATTATAAAGAAGTATTACACATCCTTGCCCTGCAGTTTGCTGTGTTAAAGTAGCAAGACATGCTGTTAGAAATTTAGTTAAGAATTATGCATTTGGGGGCCGGCCCCGTGGCGTAGTGGTTAAGTGCACTCACTCTGCTGCTGGCGGCCCGAGTTCGGATCCCGGGTGCGCACCTACGCACTGCTTGTCAGGCCATGCTGTGGCGGCGTCCCACATAAAGTGGAGGAAGATGGGCACGGATGTTAGCTCAGAGCCAGTGTTCCTCGGCAAAAAAAAAAAAAAAAGATTGGCA